TCTTTTCCTTTTTTGCGTTGATATCTCCAAGTGGGATCCAATCTTCATATGGGAGACTGTAAACATTGCGTAACAACACCAGTGGATCGCTCAAAGAAAAATAATCCGGTGAAACGGAAACACTGGATTTCAGATGAAACTCTTAAAATAATATAGAAAAAATCTTTGTAAAAGTGATGTACATAGTAAAAGGGGAAAAGCTAGTTTAAGAAACCTTAACAAAGAAATAAAACGAAGATGTAAGGCCGACAAAAAACAGTACTATCAAAGTATATGCAAAGAAATTGGGAGACATGGTCAGAATAATCAGCCGAGAGATCTATTTAGAAAAATACGCTACTTGACAAGAGACTTCAGAGCCAGAACTTGGGCCATTGAAGATAACACTGGAACCCTGAGAACAAACAGAGAAGTCATAGCAGAGACATGGAGATCGTATTGCATATAAAGATGATCAACGCCAAGAGCTTGTTAGCCAAATCTCTGACGAGGTGGAAGAAGAACCTGATATACTCGAAAATGAAGTAAGACAGGCTATCAACAAGCTCAAATATAACAAAGCACCAGGTCCAGATATGATAACAGCAGAAATGCTTAAAGCCACAGAAGAAACCGGCGTAAAGTTACTTCATCTACTCTGTATCCAAATATGGCATTCCAAACAATGGCCTGAAGACTGGACAAAATCTACAATAACGACCATACATAAAAAAGGCAGCTTCCATAAATACGACAATTATAGAACTATCTCTCTTATATCCCATGCCAGCAAGATAATGCTACACATAATTAATGAGAGACTGAAAACATTCCTTCAAAGAGAAATTCCACAAGAGCAAACTGGATTTACCAAAGGTAGAGGCACTCAAGAACATCTGTTTTAATTCAACATCCTACTATACATCTGTTTTATAGATTACCGTAAAGCGTTCGAAACGGGTCAAGTGGAGACACTTATGGTGAATACTAAAAGAAGTAGGCGTACCACAACATCTAATTACGCTTATAACCGAACTATATGAACACACTACTGGATCAGTTAAAGTACTTGACACACTTTCGAACGAATTTCATCCAGAACGGGGTGTCAGACAAGGAGTATATTATGCGAAGAGCACTTGAAGGATGGGAAAAGGGCATCTCAATAAATGGTCATAAACTAAACAATCTACGTTTCGCAGATGACACAGCCCTTCTTGAAAATAGTCAAGCAGAGCTGATAGAACTTATACGACTGATCGAAAACGAAAGTCAAATATTTGGTCTGCAATTAAACATATCAAAGACAAAGATCATGATAGTAGATAGACTACACAACAATCATCCACACATAACCACAATTGACCGGTTCGACGTTGTGAGCTCATACTTATATCTGGGATCATTAATCACAAACACAGGATCATTACAAGAAGAGATTAAACGTAGATCTGATCTAGCAAAAGAGCGATAAAGATGAGGTTGATCAACTGCTTAATATTCCCAATACTGACCTACGGATGTGAATCTTGGACTCTGAGACAATCGGAGAGAAGAAAGACAGACGCCACTGGAATGTTCTGTTGAAGATGAATGTTACGAATTCCTTGGACCGCCGCAGAACAAATAATTCAATTTTAAGAGAGCTAAAAGTTAGCCAACGACTCTCTAGTAAAGTCCATCTCCAACAATTAAAATATTTTGGGCATGTTATGAGAGCAAACACAGAAAGCATGGAAAGACTCATAATACAAGGAAAGGTAGAAGGCCGAAGATCACAAGGAAGATCCCCAACAAGATGGATAGATCAAATTACAGGAATATGCCAAAGACCTATGCATGAATTAAAAGAAATGACCAGAGACAGAGATATCTGGAGACGGACAATACACGACATCACGTCGACCACTACACTCCCCTTGGGGGGTCAGGATTGAAGAGAGAGATCTCCAAGTACTATTTTTATATCATTTTTAGAGCAGTTCCGTATTATTTCTTCCAGTTTTTCGTAAAATTTATCCTTTTCTTCGTCTAGCTTATCTTCTGTGGGTGCATGGGCATTAACTACTGAATATTTGAAAAATTTTCTCCTAATTCTTATTTTGCATATTCTGTCGCTTCCACAGGAGTTAAAAATGTTTGTAGCAATAACCAGTGACGGCATTATGATAGATTTTAAGTCTACCAAGGAGTGAGCACACTTTTTTCTAATAAAGCGCTTGGAGTAGGAGCTTCTGTCATACTGCATCTATCCAAGTCAATTTTTCCGGGAAGTTGTATCTATTTCGATAGATATTTTACTTTAATTCCATTGTTGTAACACCTGTCAGAATTGGGAATGCATGGTTCTGAAACGTTATACAACAGATTGGCTGAACGAAAACGTAAACCTTTTAAAAAAGACTGCCAGATAAATCAGGCTGAATCACAACAGTTTCTCTGTAATGATATGGTGATCGTTAAATGGATGGACAACAAACCAGTATTGGTAGCATAAAACTGCACGTCAACTAGCGAACCAGTTAAAGTAAGACAATGGGATAAAAAGCAGAAACAATACATTGATATTACTATGCCAAAACTTATTAACAACTATAACCAACCTATGGGAGGCGTAGATATGCTTGATCAATGTACGGAATACTACTGTACCTACATAAAAATAAAAAAATGGACTCTAAAAGTAATACTTCATTTTATATATTTATCGGTCGCGAATGCTAGGCATCTTTACGAATCCCAAGCTATTGCTTCTTATATCACCAAAAAGAAAATTCAAGATTTACTTGAATTTCGATTTGTAATAGCTGAATGTCTGATCTGTAGGCAGTGATCTACGCAAAATGGGAATACAGCAATGAGAAATAGCTGCTCAGGACCGACAACAATGGAGGCAAATAGTAAACACGGTCAAGACTTACATAGAGTTGTAGAGCCAAATGATGATGATAATGATGATGATGATGATGATGAATTTCTGATAGAAGCACTAGCAAAAAAAAACGAGTTTTAATGGATAAAACTAACCTACAGATTGAGAATGTACATCCAGACCTTAATCCTTAAATACAAACCATGTTTTGATTGTTCGCGCGCTGTTTGACCAAATTGATAGTCTCAGATCATGCAGGCTTACAAACTGTGGCAGTAGAACTAAAATAAGATGTAAATAGTGCGAATCTGTGTTTACCGCGTGTGAAATCATGTGTTAAAGACTATTATAAGAACTAGCATTTAAAATGTTTACATAATGTAAAAATAATAAATAAATAACTATTTATATCAATACCACCTTTAATACTTGAATTCTGTTGAAATTAACTACTGCTTCTTGCACCAACGCACGATCGTGCGTTCATGTTCTATTAGCCCAGACCGCACGAACGTGGCATAGCTGTATTTATGGAGGGGAGGACGAGTTATTTGTTTTAAGATCTTTTTGATGTCCTTTAGTCTTTAAATATAATTATATATATAATTTTCACAAAATAAAGTCTTGGGCGTGAAAAGGATATAGTAAAAAAACGGGGGGGCATATTATTGAGGTATGTGTTAATGGGTGATTCGTATGGAAGTAGTAAAATATTAGAAATGCAAGTGGGTGGTTAGAAATGAGGTAAAACAGTAGCAAAAAAAAGAAAGAAAATTTAAAAACAATTATTAGAAATATGATTTGGATTAAGAGAATAGCTGTCGATGTATGGAAGTAAAAGCTCGATTTAGGGTAGTTTAGCGATTGGCACAATTGGGGCTACAAGTTTCTCATACAAATACAACCGTAAACTGTTCCTATCTTGGATGTTGTGAATTAATTTTACACGGTCAGAGATATTGAGATGGTACTTGTTTGGTGAAGGTGATGAAAAAATGACTTTAAGCTGATGTATTATCTCTTTTAGAGTGTTTTGTAGATCTAGTTGAGAGTTACCTATAAAGTTCTATGTGTGTATTTTCTAAAGAATAAATTATAATACGTTTAATCTTTTCAGAAAATGTGGGGTTGTGATGAGGTAATGACTTGCAAATTAGTGTAGAAGAAGCTTGACGAAAAGTAGAATTTTGAAGCAATCCGGATTCTCTTTTGCGGACAAGTTTATCTATTATAAAAGGTTCATTACCATTGTTTACAGCTATTTGTTTTATGATGTTGAGTTCTTTATTCAAAGAGTCAGTTGACATAGGTATGGAATATAGTCTGTGAAAAAAACTTCTAAAAACAGCTAATTTGTGTGATAGAGGGTGATTGGAAAAAGAATGAATGATATGATCGGTTTGGGTGGGTTGACGAAAGTCAAATTGAATCTGGTAATAGATAAATCTAAAAAATTATTGACTTGAAAAGATTCTAGTTCCATGATAAATTTGAAATTTGGGTAGATTTGCTAAATTTCAATAAAAAAATTTACAAACAACCTGATGGTCTAACAATGGGCAGTTGCTTATCCCCTTTCCTAGCTGATGTCTTTATGGATCAATAAGAATCAAATCACATCATAAAAAAATCCTGAAATTTTACATTGGTTCTGTTATGTTGATCACTGTTTAGTCTTCATTTCATGTAATCATGACTCAGCTCATTAAGTATTTCTTAAAATTAATTTAGGGGAGTAAATGCTCCCCCTGACCCTATCAAATGACGCCTCTGGTTTGCTTTAGATCAAAAACAAACATACAATGCTCTAGACAAGGTATACAACAAAACCTTTTGCTCGCAGCTTTTATTTATCCAACCAAAACCTGTCAACGAGATATCTCGGGATAGTTATTACACATATCTTAAACCGTTAAAAAAAATTTTAAAAAAAGTAACAATAAATACTGTATAACATTTTTTGAATTCTGCCTGGAGTGAAGAAGTAAGTGCATTAATAAAAAACGTTGGTTTTTTGGGACTGTTTTTGGAAAAATAAATGGTTCGCTAAGGGGTTAGTTATATAGTCTTATTAACGTGACATATTACCGTGATATATATTTAAAGTATTAAAAATTAAGCACTTATTTACTACATTTTTATGTTTTAGAAAATCTGCTCCTTACGAGGATGGGCAAACGGCACGCCGCAGTATAAGAAAACTTTCGACGATATGATTACAATTTGGGAGGGACTCAAATTTAAGGCAGATGCAAACAAAGATGGGCAGGTATGTGCTGCATTTATTCTTTCTTAGTTATATATTAAGTGCAATTTATCATCTACTCAATGAATATATGCAGTAGTCAGTAAATATATTATAAAAAAGAAATAATACAAACAACCCGCCTAATTTTAGATAACCTTTCACTTCTGCGTGAAGATCGATCTGGTAATCTTTTAATACGATGCTGTAAGACACTACTCCTAGAACAATAAGTTTTATTTCAGGGATAAATGAGTTTTTACTGCAGTTTTACTTTATTTGAGTTGTATGCATGAACTTTAGCAGTTTCTAGGAGAACATGTGATTGCACATTGACTGCAATGATGGATAGTACCACGTTTTCGTAAGAATAAACACGTTAAAATCGGTACCCTGGATCAAAAATGGTCAACCTATTATTTTCTTACTAATATATATGAATGTAATTTATTAAAGATCAACGTCGATTTTATCGTTTGAATACTTTAATGCACAGAAAATGCTACTCATAAATTGGATTTGACTAGTTTTGAAAATTTGCTACTGGATGTCAGAGGATTTGACCCCTTTTGATAATTACTATAATGAATTTGCCTAAATCTGAAACTAACAAAATGCCACTATAAACAGGTACAGATTCTGCCATTTCTTATACTATGGTATCATGCCATGATACTTTAAGATTTATTAATAGGATTAATAAATAAATGCAAACTAGTATTACAAAAATTTATTGAATTAAAAAAAATCATTATTATATTATAAATATTATTATTTATAGACATATTATAAATTAAAATCGGTACCCTGGATCAAAAATGGTCAACTGCATTATTACAATAATGGAGATAAACACGTATATTGTGACCAACACAATAGACTGGCATTTCGTGATATATTATTACTTTCTTACTAATATATATATATATATATATATATATATATATATATATATATATATATATATATATATATATATGAGTATAATTTATTAAAGATCAACACCGATTTTATCGTTTGAATACTTTAATGCACAGAAAATGCTACTAATAAATTGGATTTGACCAGTTTTGAAAATTTGGTACTGGATGTCAGAGGATTTGACCCCTTTTGAAAATTACAATAATGGATTTGAATAAATCTGAAACTAACAAAATGCCACTATAAAAAGGTACAGATTCTGCCATTTCTTATACTATGGTATCATACCATGATACTTTAAAATTTATTAATAGGATTAATAAATAAATGCAAACTAGTATTACAAAAATTTATTGAATTAAAAAAAATCAACATTTAATTAATATCAAACTCGAACACTTCCGTCGTTTTAATCATGATTGCAGCAAGATTCATCTTCTTCAAGAACCTCTATCAAGGTAGTGTTATTAATAATGTTTAAATAAAATGCTAATTTTGTGTTTTCGACTCCCTATCAATCCACTCCACTCCATACTGTTTTTCTAACAGCTTTTTAACATCTGTAACTTTAGCACAATAAACTGAAATTCCAGTTGTTAGTCTTTTGGTGTAAATGAAGATAATGTTACACCTTTCTTTAAAAGACTTGCGTTGCTAATATCGGATTTATAAAACTCTTCACCGAAGACCAATACAGATTTGCGAGAACGTGTAATAATAAATCTTTTATATTTTGTTATTTCGAAATGAAAGTTTTGAGTGTTTTTCAGAGCTGTCTTCGCCATATCTTGTCTATCGCCTATCTAAAATATAATATAGATATATTTGAAACATCGTACGTTATTGCAGTTTCTTTAAAAAAATTCACATAATATTCGTCTGAAGATATAATGGTCTCCATCCTTTTTTATTTTTTTTTTTCTATAACCTCAAGCACCCTGTCAGGGGGAAGATATGAATGTCCCGTTAATGGAAATATCAACTCTATCTTGTCAATTGTATCAGGAGATTTTGTAGTTAACCGTTTCATGCATATTGTTAAAAAAATTGAGTTTTTAATTTGCCCCCCGCAACCGCCAGGAGCAAGACGCAAATCTTTTATATAGTGCAATGTAACTTTTTTTTTAAAGTGATAAACACAGCTGGCTATCTCATTAGAACTTTTTTTGCGTTGGTTTTAATAGATGAGTTAAGTTGAGTAATAAGCAGATTGGTCAGAAACATTGTCAGTTCTCTTTTTACAACTGATAAGAAGCTTTTGTCCTTAGTTTATGTACTAGTTTTTCCACAATTATATTTGTCTTTTCATACGCATTCTGCTCAGACTTAATTTTTACGTTCAGCTTCAAACACTTAGAACACACGTCTGTTCTGGAAATTCCAAATCTAAAATTAAACTTGGTATTGAATACATGACGAAAATATAAGAACTTACGAAGAATATTTGTATATGACTCTTTGTACATCCTGTACATTTTGGAGATATTGAGTTGAGAAGATAAATACGTTCGAATCAGTTTTATTCTATTATAATGAGATTCAACAGATTTAAAAGTCTTAATAAATTGTATTATATTTCCTTTCATACTTTGAAATTTCGTTGTTTTTCTATCACCACATTTAGTTTCAGTATGCATTTCTCCGGTACAATGATAACGATGAGGCGCCTTTTTCTGCCTTTCTTTATCAAAAGTATTTTTAAAAATGTATTCCTGCATACAAGTATAATTTGTGCTTCACAAGTTCTAACAAAATATGTAAATGATAATAATCGTTCATTATCGTGTCCATTCACAATACCTTTTCGTTGAATTGGAATTGTCTTGCAATATTTAACAATGAAACTGTCTTGATACTTTTAACAATGAAACTGCCTTTGAAGTTATCTGTTCTCGACTGACGTCTCGACGCTAAAAAAATAACGATTATTTGATTTCTAGGTGAGCGTAGAAGAATGGGCCACCATGTGGGACGAATTTTCTAAAACACCAGAAAACGCATTAGAATGGCAAACTCAGTACATGCGTTTTATGTTTGAAATGGAGGATTCCAGCGGCGACGGGGCTATAGATGTAGATGAGTTTACCGGAGTTTGTTCGTGTTATGGATTGGATCCGGCAGAGTGCAAACTAGCTTTTCAAAAAATGGCACAGGTATAAATGTTTAATTCGTTTTAAATAACGTACACATAATTTAAATTAAACTACGTTTTAATTAATATATGAGCTTATAGATTTGTTAAAAAAAAACTGGTTTTAAATTTTAATACACTTCTAATCAATTCGTCGACTATATCTGCCGTTTTTGGAAATGATATTTAATTAAAATGTTTAAATATTTAATTTATTTATTTAATTAAATTAATTTATGTTGAAATACACGAAAACGAAAATAAAATTTAAAATACTTTTTTTTATTTAATATCAGTCGCCTCAACTACTTATGATTGAGTAATGTAATAAATTTTCAAAATACATATTACATTTAAACATCTAATACTTTACTCTTTTAATCAGATTTTCATTAGGAGCTCTTGATATTGATTCTCCATATATTTCGTTAAGAATTTGAACGACTTTATTTAATATAACTTCCTTAGTAATGACAGGTTCAGAGAACATCTTGTTTTTTAACGTATTCCCAAATATAGTAATCTAACAGTGACAACGAGATCTTGGTGACCAGAGAAATGGATCTTTATTAGCTATCGTCTTTTGCTAAATATTTGATCAATCAATATTGATATTCCTCAAATATTGTTAGCTGGGGTTTCATTTTGTTGAAAATAAGCCTCGTTAGTCTTATTATTATGCAAAGTGTGCAATGCTGGTACAATTACTTGCCGTAAAATATTACAGTAACTCTCTCCGTTTAAGTTTTTGGCATAAAGTATAAGACCGACTATCTTTTCACAGCACAAAAAACTTTAAACAAAAAGAATTCTTAAAATTTACTATCCCATTTGAGCTGAGGATTTTCATCACCGTGACTGATTGTTAAGGCGGTTAAACATAGCATTTTTGTAAACTTCGATTCATCACACCAAATAATTTTTTTGTAAAATCTTGGTCTTGGCATTTCATTAAAACCCATTAACAAAATTCTACACGCCTTACGTAATTTCCAGGATGGATATGTTGAACTAGTGTATAAGAATAAAGGGTCCAATGAAAATATATTTTAGCAAAAAGTTATGTATACTACTCTGTTACACTTATCGTAAATTATAATTACACTTAAAAAATCATCATTTGTATGTCATAAAGCACTGGTTCCAACCTTTTTCCCATGATCGCCCTTTTAGGCAGGTTTCACCAGTTATTCGCACCCTACCGTCCCCACCCCTCCCCCCCCCCCCGACTAACCAATTAAATTGAAACAAATAATCAATCTATAACAAAAGGTGAGTATCCATATTTACTTATTTTTACATTTCGTATAATGATAAATGGTTATATCTGTGTAAAAGAATAATTAATGGCTTCCTTGGGCCTGGTGTCCCTTACATAAGTTCTTTATGTATGGTTCAATGTTGGTTAAATCCTTAACCTTAAATCTCTTCTTTCTATTATGTCAAGCCTATTTCTTCGTTTGTTTTTCAATATACACACAGAACTAAAACCTTTCTCCACTAGATATGTTGTGAGGAATGCTAATAATAATAATTTGATTGCATTCCACAAGATTGGATACACTTCTTTTATCCGTGGCCAAAATCTTTCATGCCTACACTCTCGAAACTTTTTCCCAACCATTTTCCCAAACTTTTAATTTCAACATTATGTTTCAAATCAATTAAGTTTTCTTGAAGCGAAGGATATACCGTTGAAACTTCCACGCTGAAAGGATTGATAAATCAAGTTGACACTTTCAGACTAGTCAAGTCTTGAAATCGGGACTGCAGATCTTCTTTTAGTGTTTAAAGGTGAAGAAAGTATGTTTGAAGATCCTCAGAATTACCACAAAAAGATTTCAAGTTGGAGAATTTGGTCATATTTCATTTCTGCATATTTTTTTCAAAAATAAATAGTTTGTCAATGAATTCCGACTACTCCCTTCACTTTGGCCATATTTATATTCTTCCCCTGTAGTTGTAGGTTCACTTCATTAAAGTTTTGAAAAATATCTGATAAGTAAGCGATGTCATTTCGCTTCTCTTGTAGTTCTGTACTCATTGTGGGGTCAGTAGAATTAAGAAATTCAATAAGAGTACTCCTAAAACTGAAGAACTGCTTTAAGAAATTGCCTTTAGAAAGCCAACACACTTCCGTATGTAGTAGCAATGTATTAAATATCTTATTATTTTTTTCATAGAGTGTACGAAACATTTTATCATTCTTTGGTTTTGCTTTAATTTTATTTATTGCATCTATGACAAGTCGAAGAGAATCGTGCAATCTTCCACTCCAATTATTTCCAGCCAAATTCTCTTTGCGAATGACGCAGTGAACACACAAAATTCCAGGTAGTGCTTGTTTTAGATCTGCAATAAATCCCCGATGGCGTCCTGTCATTTCTGCTGCACCCTCAGTAGCACAGGCGCGCGTATTTGATAAGGGATTATTTTTTCTTAAAAAATCTCTTAACTACCTCAAATATGAAAGATCCTTTTGTATCAGTAATCAGACTTCTAACAAACAGCATTTTCTTGGCCATTTTTCCATTGTCGTCAATGAATTGGACATATGACAGCAGCAAAGCTGTGCAGTCACTCAGTGTGCTCTCGTCAAGTTGCTCAGTAAACTCTCTGCTTTTCAATTTGTTGCAGAGAACATCTTCGACATTACTCTCTCATTTCACCATTCCTTCTGGAGACCGTATTATTGCTGAGAGAAACTGCATTTGTTACTTGGCTGGTCTGACTGGATCCCAACATACTATCCACTCTCTCTTTGACAGTTGGGAGGATAAATTCTTCTCCAATTGTGTGCGGCTCTTCTCCAATGGTGAAGGATAATTACCACTAGTACATGGCATTGAATCCATATTGTAATCTTAATAACATTAATACGTCACTAAATCGTGTCGAAAAGAACCGTTTTTTGTATAAATGTCAAAGAAAAATCTAAAAATTAAAGGAATAACGCATAAAATACAAAAAATCGATATAAAGGTTGAATTTCAAAATTTTATAAATGTCATTAGTATTAAAATACCATATTTATTTATTTATCGTATGGCACTTACAACACAGTTAGAACAAAATACAACAAACAACGAACAAAACTAGTAAAATAGGTATATGACAAACTTTAAATAATTACAAACAAACCAATGTTGTTAGGCTTCAAAGGACATCTATAAATAAGAATTAACAAAAACTTACTGATAAAATACAATATTATGATGATAAATATTTATTTGTTCTGCAAGTTCTGCAACAAGTAATAGCTACACCGTTAGTTGCTACGGAGTCTGGCACCGAAAGTAACTATAAAACTCATAAAACTGTACCAAGGAAGGTAAGAATGTACAGTAACACAAGTTTGGTTGATAGGGTACGATAGGTACAGAATGTGACAAGAGAAAAATAACAGTGATTTATAAATCCTGAATAAATAATTCTGTCGTCGGTGTGTGAGACTGATAGCGACTAACGGAGGGTTATAGTATGTATGGACATAAGATAATAGTTTTAACAATTGAAGAGTATCCTCTGTGTACTTTTTTAATATACTAAATTGATGTATAAATTCTGTTGCATTTTCAAAAAAAATCCAAGTATAAGTTGATTATATGTAAGAATTTTCGTTGCTAAATAGTTCTTTTGTATGAGTTTTTAATAAAGCAAAGTGATTCTACTATGCCTCAAAGCCTCGCTTCCAATTCATCTGAATTTGCTATTTAGACTATTATTCTCATCAGCCTTTATCTCCGTTGTGGTGTATATGTGGTTTAGACGATTGCATCAGGTGTATAGCTACTATGGAGCGCTAAACATGTTAAGGAACAATAGTAAATTACATCGTTAAGATAGTGCTCCTATTACATACTCAAATATTTTTTTACTTCAATTTTATTACTCAAATAAGATTTTTTTAATTTTAGGGTCAGCCCAGTGTGAGCTACGAGCAGTTCGAAGTACTATGGAAACAATTCTTTACTTCAGAAAATCCATCCGATCCTGGCAACTTCATTTTTGGGAAAACAAATTTTTAATCTAGACTAAGACACTTCTAATATCAATATTAATAATTAGCATCTTTTGTATTTTGTTCCATATTCCTACTACTAATATTGATAACCTACTTCATATTACATTCTTGAAAAAAAAATTATACAAAACAATGCTTGAGGAAGCTATACTTAGTTGGTTATTTGTAATATTGATAGAAATAGACAAATTGTACCGAGATATATTTAGCCTATAATATAAAAAGCTATAAAATATAAGGTTTGTTACAATTTAAAATTAAAATAAATAGAGTTACCCGAACTATACTAAATAAACTAGAGATGTTGTGTTTCAAGAGTTTGATATTTTTGCTTCGACCTCGTACTACAATGCAGAATTTTGACCTTCTAGTTAACTATTACCTAATTTAAATTATGGATACAACGTATTCCGCAAAAAGCTTTGATAATGACAATATACTATACTGCTTGCGTGGTGTACAACTATTCGAATATGTTTCAAATAATTTATAAAAAAAACAAGCCTTCAACAAATCACATTCAAATTCGATTAAAGTTATGACTTTTGTGTCGTGAATAATACGAGAATTCTAATTACTATGCGTTTAGTACTATTTCTTGTACTATGGTCATTTCTAATGATGTCAAATAATTAATAATAAATGAAATTAATTCGTGAAACAAAAAACGGGTAAAAATAATGAGAACTAATATTAATTATTTGTTATATGTAAGTTGTAATTTCTTTTACATCATTTACCTTTCAAAAACGTAAATAACTTTATTGTATTACAAATCATGTAGCCGGGAACAACAGACTCAAAAGTTAAGTCGATCGAGGTTTGCTTCGTCATTTGCACTACTTATATTAGAACTGGTTTTAAGTAGATAGTGGGAGCTCACAGTTTAAAAACAGAATTTCTACAAGTAATGCCGTTTCATTGAATATCAGATCTTACAGACTTGGCATCCCAACCTAAGGTTTAATTTTAAAAAAAGTGAAGTTTTTTTATCTGTAAAAAAAATAAGGACTAAACGAACTATTAAAAGACTAGGATCAAGCAGGATTTGGGCAAGGCTACAAGACGATCATCATCGTCATCGGGAACCTTTCATAGGTCTCCCTCAACTCTTTTCATCTGTCTCTGTCTTGTGCGGCTTGCATTCCGTTATTGCTAACAGGCTTTAGGTCGTCAGTCCATTTAGTTGGTGGGCGTCCTCTGCCCTTTATTGCTTCTTGTCTTGCTCTCCACTCGACAATACGTTTTGTCCATCGGTTGCTTGATAATCTGGCAACGTATCCTGTCTAATTCCGCGTTTAACGACGCAATTTTTTTGATGAAGTCTGTTGTTTTTGTTCTACGACGTATTTCTTAGTCTGGACTTAGGTCCCTCAGAGAGACACCTAATATTTGACGCTCCATGGCTCTCTGAGTCACACGAATCTTATTCAATAGCTTTTTTGTCAGTGTTAATGTTTCCGTTTCATAAGTGAGTACAAGTAACACACATTGGTCAAAGATTTTCCTTTTGAGGTATATGGGTAGATCCGATTTAAATACATAGTTTAACTTACCAAACGCTGCCCAGGCTAATCCTGTGCCACATGGAAGCTTACATGTCTGGTTATGATGTCGAGGACGATGTCATCTGCACATCCCAAACAACTGAAGGTCTTCCCATTTATGCTGATACCTTGCTCGTTCAGATGTACCTTCTTACAAGTATGTTCTAAAAGCATCATGAATAGGATTGGAGAGACGGTGTCTCCTTGCAGTCCTCCTCGCTTTATACAGAATTTATATGTTTCTTGTTTAAATATATTTGATTATAATAGGGTGCCATGGTCTATTCGACATTCTGTAAATGCTTTTACCAATTTCTGATGGGTTATGGTATCAAATGCTTTCTCGTAATCGACAAATATCAGTTCCAATGTTCCAAAGGTTCTTTATCATTAGTTAGTGGTCGTTAGTGCTGTCTATCTATCTAATTAGCCTTCTTCGGTCCATCTTTGGACATAGGCCTCCCCAATCCTTTTCCATTCTTCTTTGTTTGTCGCTACAGTCATCCACCTAGATCCCACGTGCTTCTTGATATCATCTGACCATCTCATTTGAGGCCTTTCTCTGCTTCGTTTATATTTCCACGGTCTTCAACTTATTTATAAGAATTTTGTTCCATCGGTCTTCTTTTTGTCTTATATTGTGTCTGGCAAATCTCCATTTCAATTTTGCAACATTTGTTACCTCGTATATTTGTTCTGTAATTAGCAATGGCGTTGTCGTGAAGATCTACTCCGCCCATGTATTTATTATATTGTTTTATGAGGTCAGGTTGTGAAATTTGGATATCTTTACGTTCTTTTCGGTTGTATAGTGGTTTAGCAGTTGTAAGTGGTTAAACAGCAAAATTATTACTAGCGACTGTAACAACTGAAATATCATTCCACCTAACCAGAGTAACTTTGGATTTTTCACTGTAAGCATAGTCATATGCTCCTCTGTCTTATTTTGTTAATATTTTGACCCCATCTAAAGGAGCTTTATTTGTTCAATTTTCTCGAATGGTACCCGTAGCAAAATAATTCATCTGTTGTAATTTTTCGAAAAGCTTATACAACGAAAAATAATTATCAAAAAAAAACTCTGTGGTGCAATGGATTTTCAAGTACAGATAAAAGGTCAATCACTATTTGGCCACCAAGTCCAAGTGGAGATTTTTCTTTTTCCGTGTTTGCTCCAGCGTACGGTATAAAAGTAAACAAGTACCCATCTGATGAACACAAACACCACAACTTGAAACCAAATCTTACCGGCTTTCCTTTTATAAACATCTTACAGGAATGGCGACCAAAATAGGGTACCATTTGTTCGTCGATCGATAGATTGTGGGCGAATATTCCAAACTATTTATTCCTAGCGTTTATGGCTTCAAAAAATTGTTGAAGTTTTGCGAATTTATCATTTTGATTGAGATTTGCCTTGTTTGATAGATGGATATTTCTTTTGATATTCCTGAACATGTTTCTACTCATACATTTTCTCACAATAGGCAAACCCTTATCTTCGTCAAAACTCCAGTATAAATCTGTTTGCGGTAATATGTGGTAACCCGATAGTATCAAAATACCAAGAAATTTCTTTAAGTATTTTATGCAAAATTGAAAATCCTGACGATTATTATCACGAGAATATTTTACTGAAAACTACTATCATGGTCAAAAGTTCTTCGTCAAAAAACATTAAGAAAATTTCCAATGGTGTTTTGCCCTCCAGTGCGTCTTTTATTTATTGTAGACTATTATGTTCATTTGAGATAGGTAAATGGGTATAAACAACTTCTTTTTTTCCCACTCTATATTTTCCCTCTCTTTTTACCAGAAAATCGTCTTTTCTGTCCTGGCACAGGTTCTTCCGGCTCATCGCAAATGTCATTATCGATATCAACCTCAATTTCCAAGGTACCAGCTATTTCTTTATCAATTGATTCGTCATTCATAAGTACATTCTCGTCAATATCCTCTTGATCAGTCAACTCTTCTACATTAGGTGGAATATAGACAGCATCCACAAATCAAAATTTATGATTTTATTTATACACGAAAAATAAAAAATTATATTAACATACCTCGTTCTATTTCTAAATCATTAACAATTTCTTCTAACGCACTTTCTAGCTCCCTATGGGTCAAAATATGTCTTTTTGGCATAGCTAAATTCAGTAATAAACAGCACGTGTATACTTAGCTCTTGTCGATACGAAATCTGCCGCATAACTAACCACTATAACAACTACTAAAGAACGAGCCGACAAAATCTGTCGAGTTGCTGCGTACTTATTCACAGATTCCGCCAAGGGTACGCTAACGCACCACTATATAATGACCATCTGGTTCTTAGAAAAATAAATATCTTATCACCAAAAATGACTTATACATAGATTTGTTTATCTTTTCAGAACAGTAATAAATAAAAAGCGTCCAAACAAAAATGTATCATATAGTTTATTTTTAAAGTTATGGCTAGGCATTTTTAAAATGGTAAACATGAACTATATTAAAAAATTCACAGAAAGCAAGGAAACAATAGAAATAGAAAGATAATATATTGAATTAAATGTTTAAAGGTTGTATATTAAACTACCGCAATGAGGTTTTCTGTTGAAATGCTTTAATAAAAAAAAAATCTAAAAGGTAATGGTGCGTATACGCACCATTGGCCGAAAATGGGTTAAGATGATAATTTCTTGGAGAAATGCCCGCTTACAATTTTAAATAAAATAAAGTAAAAAAATAAAAACCTTTAGTTTGTAAACACCTTATTAGAAATAGGAAGAGATATACTAGGTATTGATATCATCTTTATTATTAACAACCATCTTTTCTTCAAAATGTTTACATGCATGATACGCAATTCGTTAACAAAAATTACAAAAAAATAATACCAAATCACAAGTTTATTTGATTGAAATATTACCGTAATTTATATTTATATAAAACTAACCAGGGCCCTGATTCTAATTGAGATTTCGACTGAAAACATGTCGAAATTAATATGGCGACGTCGAAATGCGACTTTGCGAACCTAGTGGATTTCAGCTGAACTAACCAAAGGACGTCACTAAATTTCGATTTATCGAAATTAATTTCAACTTCAAGAAAGTGGTTGAAATTTAATTTCGAGTCGAAATTAATCTGACATGACTAGCGGGACTGGGAGAAGCGAGGTTAGGTTCAGTTTAGGCGGTGTTGTTTTGTTTGATTGTTGCAACGAAAATTGAGGCAAAAAGTATTAATATGGCTGCGTTTTATCAGAAATTGTATGTGATTCGGCACATAATTGGTCGAAATTTTAACACCTATAACAATAGAACTGCGGTACCTGGGGGCCCCAAGCCAGATGCTACTGATTATTTTTTAAAATATACTGTGGTGTAAAAATTAAAGAAATAAAATGTCCCAATATTAAAACTAAATTGGAAACCACAATTTTTGAACTTATTCAACAGGCTGTAATGGAAGATAGAAATAATAAATAATTTGGTTGTAATAATTTATTTTAATTCTACGCTCTTATTTGGAGATATAAAATAATCTTTAAACTCATCAAGAATTTTTAGAGCAGTAATGTATTGTTTTTAGTAATACCAATACTAAGCTGCAGTAAATTTAAAAATATAATATAACCACTAAGTCAAAAGCCATCATAATTTCTTTTTGGTCCACAGACAATTTAGTGCCACCATCACCAACAGCCTCCATCCATTTTCTTTCAACTCAAAATATAATCATTGAGAATGGCCACTAAAAATTTAACAACTCAAACAAGAAACTAAAATCGTAAAATGTAAACAAAACAAACATTTAACAAGCGTGCAGCGTGCAGCCAAAAAACAAGACGGCCAACCCAAATTCTGAGCAGTGTCAAAATGATAAAGTAAATGTCTCCACTTTTAACTAAAATCGAAATGAATGAGAATCGCTAGCGATTGCGACTATCATGGCGTAGTCGCTTTTAAATTTCGACATCGAAATGAAATAGAATCAGGGCCCAGCAGTCTGTAATTTTAATAAATAATATAAACTAACTAATTTAAAATATTATGCTATTGCAGTAATGTCGGAATTATAAAATATCGTTAAATATTCACTTTTAATAAATGCTTGTTATTATTTGATATTATTTAGATGCACATTTAACTATATTGTACAATTTTGAATTTAATC